AATGGGGAAAAGAATCGGGAAATTTGGCTCAGCACCAGCTCCACCAGGCCCTCGCTCACAGTGACAGCTCTTTTTGGTTTGGTTGAAATCATAAATTGTAATTGTATGAAATGGATGAAAATCGAGGTGAATTTTTCGGTTATATTCTGATTTTGGTGACTAAAATTTGTAACTAAACCGAGAGTAACACAGCCAGCTCTTCATCCCATGAAATTCCCAAATTGTGCAACAAAATCAGGGCCGTTTTTGTTTTTTTTTTGTCTCAGACTGAAACCAAACCAAAAGGAAGCTGCGCTGATTGCCTTCACCTTCACTTAGCTCAGCCCTGGAACATGAAGTAACAAAAATAAATGTCTCAACTTGCTAAAATAGGGCTGGAAATTTCCCGTGTGTTATTTGGTTATTTAAATCCGCCCCCGAAGAGGTTTTTTTTTTGTGACGGAGAAAGTTTGCAGACTTAGGAAATTCGAAAAATTCCTCTTTGCGTGTGCACAGCCCCCAGTCTCCGAGAGAAGGGCTTTGTTCTGTAATTTTGGTAACAGATTTGCTCTGCATCAAATCTACATTCATCAAGGGACCACATTTTATCATGGAATTATCTGGAACACACACATGATATGAAATAACGGTGAAATCTTCTAATTCCTCAAAAAATATCAGAACAGGATAAGGCCAAATTTTCAGTTTTTTTTCCTGTAGCAGACATAAAGTGACAACGTGATGGGATTTCAAACCGCTCTGGAAAGTGAAGAAACCTCGGAACCAAGATTAACCCGCAGCCTCCAAAATTCCACCGCTGTTTGTCGATTTTCACGAGGCACGACACGGACACCACAGGCTCCTAAAGACATTTTCACATTTTTCGTAGGTTTTGCGTGTGGCTTTGGGGCTGGCAGAGGCGCGGGTCAGTTTGGGACGTCAAAAAATGGGTTTGGAGCGGGACAGGATGGGGAGAGGATCCTTTGTTGCTCACCAGAGGGGTTTTAGCGGGGTTTTATGGGGCTGCTCCTGCTCCTGGCGCTGCTCTGGGTGTCCCCATGGGGTGTCCCCATGGCACGGACCCGGCTGGACCTGTCCTGGTGTCCCAGTTGGGCTGTCCCCTGTCCCACTGTCCAAACTGGGCTGCTCCCGTGTCCGAACCGGGCTGTCCTGGTGACCAAACTGGGTTGTCCCCGTGTCCCAGTTGGGGTGTCCTGGTGTCCCAGTTGGTCTGGCCCTTGTCCTGATGTCCGAGCTGGGCTGTCCCCGCTGTCCCAGTCCAAGCCAGGCTGTCCTGGTGTCCCCGTGTCCGAGCCGGGCTGTCCTGGTGTCCAGTTGGGGTGTCCTGGTGTCCGAACCGGGCTGTCCTGGTGTCCCAGTTGGGCTGTCCTGGTGTCCGAATTGGTCTGGCCCCTGTTCTGGTGTCCAAGCCAGGCTGTCCCCATGTCCAAGCCAGGCTGTCCTGGTGTCCCAGTTGGGGTGTCCTGGTGTCCCAGTTGGGCTGGCCCCTGTCCTGATATCCGTGCCAGGCTCTCCTGATGTCCGAGCTGGACTGTCCCCGCTATCCCAGTGTCCAATCCAGGCTGTTCCAGTGTCCAAATTGGGCTGTCCCCTGTCCCCGTTGCACTGTCCCCGTGTCCCAGTTGGGCTGGCCCTTGTCCTGATGTCCGAGCTGGGCTGTCCCCATGTCTCAGTTGGGCTGTCCCCGCTGTCCCAGTGTCCAATCCAGGCTGTTCCAGTGTCCGAATTGGGCTGGCCCCTGTCCCGATGTCCAGTCTGGGCTGTCCTGATGTCCCAGTTGGGCTGGTCCCTGTGCCGGTGTCCAAGCCAGGCTATCCCCACTGTCCCAGCCGATTGTCCCCACTGTCCCAGCCGATTGTCCCACTGTCCCAGCCGATTGTCCCACTGTCCCAGCCGATTGTCCCCACTGTCCCAGCCGCTCTCCCCGCGGCTCTGAGCTCCTACAGCCCGTTCTGGCGGCTGGAGGGGAACTCGGGCTGCTCGGGCTGGGGCTCGGGCGGGGCCGGGGGTTTGGCGTGTGTCCGCCCGATCTCCTCCAGGGCACAGGCCAGCGAGTCCAGGTCCCCGTCGTGCTGGTGCCGCGCCTCCCACAGGTCCAGGATGACGGCGGAGGGGCTGCGCTGAGAGGCGAAGAACGAGAGATTCCTGCAGAAAAAAAAAAGAGAGAAGGGGATGAGGAACAGCCCGAGCTGCCAGCACTGTCTGTAATAAAATCCACTGTTCAAAATAACATCTAAAAAATAAAATAACATCCACTGTCCCAAATAAAATTTGAGAAATAAAATCCTCTGTCCAAAATAAAATCCTCTGTCCTAAATAACATCTAAAAAATAAAATCCACTGTCCAAAATAAAATCTAAAATATAAAATAAAATCCACTGTCCAAAATAAAATCTAAAAAATTAAAATCCATTGTCCAAAATAAAATCCAAGAAATAAAATAAAATCCTGTATCCAAAATAAAATTTAAAAGATAAAACCCACTGTCCGAAATAAAAATGCCTCGGCAGGATTTGGGGGGATGCACTGAGGAGCCCTCGGGTGTGCTCATTCCTCACTGTCACCCGCCCAGCAGCACCAGTCCCTGGGACTGGGAAAACTGGGAAGAATCACTGGGAAATACAGCGAGGACTGGACAGGGAGAGGGATTCTGGAACATCAATTAAAGCTCGTGATTATGTAAAGATCCAGCACCTTTAATCTGTGATTTTATCTTCCAGTAATGTGCAGTTTTTGGGACCCTGCGGGGCGATTTGCACAGAATTTGGTAAAATGTTTATCCCAAACACTTTTTCCTTTTTTTTCTGATGTGGCTTATTTGGGATTCCCATGCAAAACAACAAAGAAAGTTACTTTCTTTGAGTCTTTTAGTTGATTTAAGTATTCCCCTGCTCTCTTGGGAACACATTCACAGAGTTTGTGACAATCAGGAAATATTTTTGTGAGGGAGCTGCCTCCGCCAATTTAATTTAGCCAAGCAGAGAAAGCAAAGTAAGAAGTAAATTGCTTTTTACAGCGTCTTTCAGTTTTCATAATCATAATATTATTACTCCTAACAGCGGAGCATGACTGGCTCTTTCAAATATGCCTTTCCCTTAAAAAAAATAAAAAATAATAATAAAAAAATGAAAGATGTAGAATTCATTTTGGAATAGGAACCAAGGAGGATGTGCAGCCCCATCAGGGTTTGGACAGGGCTTTCAGGGGGGACAAAACCATGAAGGTGGACACGGGAATGTCCAGTCCAGGCCAAAGGATGGACAGATGGACAGAGCAGGACAGGGAACAGGGGGAGCTCGGGGCTGTTTTCTCTGCCCCAAGACCCCCGAATCGCCCACCCGCAGCTCAAAACACACAAACCCCGCTCAGCAGCGAACAATTCCCATTTGAGACCCCCGATCCCCCCATCCCTCACCTGCTGATGCTGTTTTTCTGCGCCAGCAGCTGCCAGTCCTTGCCCTTGGCTCCGGGCGCGTCGAAAGTGGCGCAGATGCGCTGCCGGATCGACTGCGGGATTTTGAACGCTTTGGGGCCGAGCTGGGCCGGGAAATCGCCGTCCTCGTGAGCAAAAAAGGTGCCGTTCTCTCTGTCAGCCTGCAAGGAACGGGACAGCGAAGGTGGTGAGGGAATGACCAAACCTGGGTTTGAACGGACGGCAGGAAATGGCAGAGGTCGGAAAGGATGGTTTGGGAAGGGAAGTCTGGAACATCACAAGGAATTCTGCGTAAAAAAAACATCGTGTCCCATTCCTGGCAGTGCCAAGGG